TCCTTATTTTATCATTTTATTAAATTAAATATATATTTATTAAATATAACTGTATTGCTATATACTATAATGTAATTATTTCATTATTATTATTTATATTATTGTTTTGTTGCGATTTAATTGCTATATAATGTCTAAAAAATTCTAATAATATATAATAATTTAATCATATTTATGTACAATAATAATTTATTTGTAATCCAACAATAAATATATACTGAGAAACAAAAACAAGTAAAGAATACAACTGTATTCTTGTCAATAAAATGGCAACTTGAAACTTCTCATTGACTTGCAGGCCCTGCACTGCCTACCTGAAGTGTGACCAAAGGGCAATAATCAAACGTTGCAAACACTGACACCATGGGGACTGAGAGAGAACTGCTGTCACAAACCTGAGCATCTAAATCACTATAAAAATTTCATCAGCTGCCTGCTGTAAACTCAGCACTAAAGTTAATAATTATGATGTAGAAGACAGAAAATGCGTGTTGATTATGGTTGATCTTGGCACAGCGTGGCCTTCCCAGCAGAGGCTGGCCAATCCAGGTGTCTCTCCAGAGCTCTGCCTGGAGTATGATGAACTAAGCGTGGCAGACACTGTGGCAGCAGATCATGCAAGCCAACGCACACACCTCACAATGCAGCCAGTTCACCTGATGCAAGCAGTGACTCAGTGGTTTCTCTGAATTGGTCCATTCTGTTTAGTCACGCACACAACAAAGCGTGTTTATCAAAAACAGCTGCCCAATGTAACACCTTATTGTTTTGTTGTAAATATTAGACTATTCTTGGAGACGTGTAACATTAGCAGTTTTAAAAAAGAAAAAAAAATACAGCAAAATGTTTGTACACTCAGAAATGAAGGTACAAACTCAATCAACGAGGTGGTGCCTTTTAAAAGGCAATATAATATGTATAACTTAGGTATTAATATTATGTACACTAATAAAATGTACATTAAGGTACTAATATGCACCCTTTAGGAGTAAATAAATACAAAAATGTACTTTTAAAAAAAAATGAGGTGACAGCTTTTGTACCTAAGTGTATTAACTGTGAGAAAAAGCATGAATATTATTATTAAACATGTATCTAAAAGTCAAAGCCCATTTAGATTTTAGCTAACTGGCTCCACAGTATATCATAATCATTTTGTGCCACTCTCACATTCAAACTTGTGTGAATCAAAGGCAAAGTTTCAACATCCCATGGCTGTTATGTCTGAAAACAGTCAATATTCCCAAAACTGTTCATTCAATCCGAGCACAAGCTCGATCGGTGAACCACATGAGTCCAGGGGTCTGGCTCTAGAACAAGATTCTATTGTTGCATTGTTCACACATTCCTGAAAGGCCATGTTTATACAGATGCAAGTCCACGGCCTATCTGAGGAGCCGCTCTCTGGCCGAGACCCTCCGTTGATCAAAGCTTTTAATGCAAGAGCAGAGGCACTTGTTTGGGTCGGTGGGGACTTGGAGCACAAATCTCCATCTGTTGGCCGTATGGACCTTCTCAGTTACCTCCGGGACAAGAACGCTTCGAACTGCCATTTCTCTAACATTCAGTTTACTCAGCTGGCTCCCAATCCTGTTACCTCCCCTTTGTTTTTCCCCCAGAACATGTGTTAAGTTAATGCTCTGTAACAAATTTCAAAGGCCCAATTTAAGGGGGGGTCAACAACAGGTAATAGACCGATATATTGACGTACTGATCTGAAATGTGAGAGCAAAACCAGAGACAGACGCAAAACCAATATCTTTTTTTTTTTTGGTTATGTGAAGAGCGAAGACATATAAACACAACCTCACGTACTTTATGAGGGGGTGCCATTGAATCCAGCTTACTTGTTTCACACTAAAACAACCTCAGGCTTGCTTTGATCACACTGGGTCAGCCGGTTAACTCACAGTTCGGTTACTCAGTTCAGGCCATATTCTGTAAGATGGTTGGTTACAGTGAGGCTCGGGTTTTGTTTCGTAATTGGATTAAGGCCACACACCTCTGCTCCTGCTACCGGCACCAATCAATGTGGAAATGAGTTGTCAACACATCACTATTTACTGAGCACTCATTTATTTTTCTATGGGATGCCAAAGGCTGCACCTACACTAAAAGGCACCAGATGAGGGGGGATCGGCGGCTTTGAACATTTAAAATGATCTGTCCTGTTGACTTTGTTTGAAAATGTCACAGTCCTTCCACACACACAAGGAATATTAGAACAGGAAACAACAACAACCCTAATTCATCCCTTTCATGCACTGCCAGTGCAGTTGATATAAAATTCAAACATGGGCCGAAGACATATATTTGATCCAGTAGTTTAAAAGCAAATAATATGAACAATTAACTTGATGGCGATGGGCACAGTGGGATATTTAGGGGCACGCATTTAGCATTTAAAAAAAGGTTCATCGTTACAAATAGGGTGGACAAATATAAGCAAAAACTCATCAGGATTGGATCCCAAAGAGAAGTTCATTAAAAATAGTTTGTAAATGAATGCATCTAGAACTCCACCTTTGATTTATTCCAACAAAAGCCTCTACAATTGCTTTCCATTGCTTCCAGGTATCCAAGGGCGTTTGCACAGTTGCTCTTAATTGAAAAAGTTATAGTAGCACATTACACTTCATGGTTTTATAAGCAGTACTATAAAGCCTTGGCAGGCCTCGAAAGGGGAAGCTGCCCATTAACTTATAGGGTCCAGGCCCAGGAAGTGTAATTGACAAGCTCTAGGCTACTTTCATCACTTGTCGTGTTCATAGCATCAATCCATGTTTCCTCTGGGATGCTGTTACATCTTTGACATGAGGGTGTTTGTGAGATATCCCAGTCTGCTTCCAAGCTAGTGGCTCTCGACTCTCCATAAAACACGTGCACACACACACACACACACACACTCCACTCATGGGCCTCGGAATTGGGTCCAGCCCGTGCAGTTAGCCATGTGTTCAAATTTCCTTCCAAGCCAACTCAGTTTGCTTTGTGGCTTTTGTGGAAGGAGGGGAAAAAAACACTCACATCAGCTCACAGTTATTAAACAAATGGAAAGCTGATTATAATCCAGGTTCTCTATACATGCGCCTGGGCAAACTAATTTAAAAGCCAATGTGTGAGAAGCGCGTTCCTTTAGAGAAGCTGAACAAATGGATTTGTCTTCAAGGGATAACAAACATGAACTGCTGGTTTAATTAACAGAGTTAAACACATCCTACTGGATGACCTCAGGCACCAAAACTGTCATTGGACGCACTGCATATTCACATGCTAACTGCAAATATGACAAACCCTGGCATGACAGTCACAGTTCACACTGTACATTAGCTGGCCCATCAGTACAGCGCCTCTGGAAATTCATCTGCTATGAATTACAGCCACCTGGCACCATGTCCTGATGACCAATGCCCAATATGGACAGATTACTGGGACCTTAAAACCATGCCTTCTTTGTAATTGACATTTAAACTGTTTGAAGTCCCTCATTAAAGTCTCTCAAGAGGAATTAGACACAGATGTACCATGTAGAAGTACAGTACTATTTTGCTTTAGTGATTTTGACTGGTTGTTTGAAATACCTCTGGAAATGTCAAGCTTATTGTACATTTTTGAATTCTTAAGCATACAAAATGTAATGTAATTTAATAGTCATTCATTCATGTCTGAAGGACATAGATGTTTAAAATGGTAAAATGTAGCACACACACTATCAAAATAAAATTTAAGCATGGTCTTAAGCATATCATGAACCAAACCATTTATTTATTTATTTAATTTTCAGAGATTAGTCTATTCAAAATTGGGACTTCACTCATGTTCAAAACAGTCTTACAAATAAAAATCAATAAATGCATTAATCCACAATAATTCTAAAATAATAATAAAAAATACATGCTGCCCACTCTTAGTAAACTTTAGAATTAACCACAGACAATTCCAAGAATTCTGAAAAAGGGAAAAGATATAAATGAATTTAAAAATCATAGATTAATTTAGTATTATATTAAGAAATCATTTTCACCAAGGTTGCATTTATTTGATCAAAATACAGTAAAACAGTGATATTGTGAAATATTATAAAATGTTTAATTTGAATATATTTTTGTAATTTATTCTTGTAATTTATTATTTAGGTAATTTATTCCTGTGATGGCTAAACTGAATTTTCAGCAGCTATTACTCCAGTCTTCAGTGTCACATGATCCTTCAGAAATCATTCTAATATGCTGATTTGGTGCTCAATAAACATTTCTTATTATCATCAATAATGAAAACAGTTCTGCTTCTTAATATTTACGTGGAAACCACGATACATTTTTTTCCCAGGATTCTTTGATGAACAGAAAAAAAAGACATTTATTTAAAATAGAAATATTTCGTAACATGTTAAAATGTCTTTAACTTTGACTCAGTTTCTTTTTATCTTTAACTCAATTTCATGCATCCTTGTTCAACAAAAAAATAAAAATTTACTGACTCCAAACTAAGTAAAGGCTGCATGTACCATTTATTATTATTATTATTATTATTATTATTATTATTATTTATTTTATTATCTCTTTGTCAGGCACAGAATAGTTTTAGCTCAGCACAATATTTCAGTTGCTTTGGATATTCCAAACATCCATTCTGCATCTGACTAGGGAACAGGACTTAGGTTTGACCAATAGTTTTGGACATCAAACTTCTGCTTTCTTATTCAATCTTTTGGCACCTCTGGTAAGACATATCAGCAAACGAGATACATTGAGGACAATAAACTTCGACTACGAAAGCGTTTTGTGACAAAACCAATTCATTTGAAATAAACAAACTGTTATTCGTATAAAAGAAAGCATCAAAACATGTCAATGTCAAACGTTTTATCATGTTCTCCCTTAATTCACTTCCCTTACTTATATGGGACGTCCTTTTACCACGAATGTACTTTAAAAACTATCAGTGTCGTTAACACATAATGTGTAATGTAAAGAGGAGAGAAATCTCCAGTAACTTACAACACAGACGCTCTTCTGTCACCACATCCTATACGCAGCGCCATGTCTTCGGCTTCCTCACATGAGATGTTCCTATTGGCTGCCAGCGTCGCTATGTGTAAAAATAATGACGTTTGATTGGTCAGAGAAAAAGATAGGCGTCCACGAAGAATCGCCCCTTTCTGATTTAAAGTCGCAGACAATTGCATATGCTCTGGACTAAAAAATAATATTAATAATAAAAACTACTTCTACAACTGATAAAAAATTCCTCAGCCTTTTATATTTTATTTTCATCATTTAATGAGAACTACATTATCATACCTAGTATACTTTAATGTTTGGAGGCTATGTTCAGAAAATAAGTACTACCAGTACCACAATACTTATAGGCGTATTATTTTTGCAGTATATAGTATTGTGCACTTTTTTTGTACATAAAATACCTGCATGACCTACTACATTTACCAGAAATGTGCAGCATAATACTGGAAAACACTTTGTGGAATCGTACCCCACAATGCAATGCACTAGATTTTCATTTAGAGTGTGGAACATGAAGTAAAATCAACCTTGGATTTTAACATACTTTTGACTAGTTATTTGAACTCACTGAGTTACAACATTTTATTCACATAGAATTGGATTTAAATGCAAAATGACTATTTTTATTCCCATAATGACAATAGAATGAAACTCTGAATTAACTAAACAAATTAGATCACATGAAAACAATTTAGGAAACTATATTGTTTGAAACATTTACAATTACATAATACATACTATTCCACTTACATTTTTTTTTAAATGCAGCACATAGTGTACACTGAGCTAGTAAGCCAGTACTCCATTTCAAGCATGGCCTCAGTTTGGTGATGATCCTGGTTGTCATGTCTATGCGCTGACATGCACGACACCATCACTGGAGTGCGCTCCAGGAACCGGCGCACAGCAGTGGTGAATTACTACTACTACCATCAGCCAGGTCCATGCGTGGCAAACAAATGACACACAATATTTGCCATGATTAAGTTAGCAGGGGACTCTGAGGAAATATCAGGTTTCAAAAACGCTTTCTCTGGCTATGTGATGGTTGTGCACAGCATTGCTTGTAAGAACCAAAAATACCAAAAGAAAAAAATACAACAACAACTACTATGGCACATTCATTTGCATTAGAATATGAAATAAGTGAGCAAACTATGTCACACTAGGTTACTTCCTGCATTGTTTTGAAGTATTAAAACTATATTTGGACAACTTTGTCTATTAAAATTCTATCTAAAATCTATTTTTAATGTCAGGGAAGATATTCTTCTCGTGTGACTGTAATAAACATTCAAAGCTAACATGAGGTATTAAATAAATGGTATATTCAAGACAGAAGAGAAATGCAATCTATATTTTAATATACAATATACATCATATAACTAAAACTACACGGTCTGCAACAATAATATCACAAAATAACAGGTGTAGAATGGGAACTCACATTCAACATATTGCATATAGTTTGAAATTCCATTCATGGGTTACTTGGAAACTCCCTTTTTCTTGCTCAATGCCTTTCATCAACCTCAATTGTCATCTGTTAATCCAGTTTTGATAGCATTTGGCACACTTTCTTTGGATCACAGCAAGCTCCACGACTTCTATTCTGGTCTCCCCTAGGAACCACAGAGCCCCCGAAAGAAGCCAGAGTTCGGTTGTCCCGAAAAGGCAGCCTGTGCTGTCTGATGAAAGTCGCTTAGACATACACACGGCAAATCATAATTGGACCATTTCACTCTTTATACCAATACTGATACAGTACCAGCATTATTTGATGGCAGTGTAAAGTAATGGAAAGTATAATGACTATTGAAAGAAGCTGAATGTTATGATTTGATGTAAGAATATATATACATATAGCAGCTCCTTTGTTCTCTTTGGTCTACCCTGGTACAAATGCACAATGAATCAGTAGGGTTTGTGTCTTGAATGTCTGGTTCATTGAAAATCTGGCCAACTCTGAAGCTGGAGATTAAAGAACAAAACATGGATGAAAAAATGTATGGATGGAAAGTCACAATCTAACTCTGGCATTTCAAGTAAGCAAATGTTCTCTGTATTTGCTTTATATTCCATATTATACTGTGAATTCTGGTAAATTAGATTTGTTTTATTAATAATATACTTGCAAACTATGATGTCTTTGAATAAACAAGAATAAGCTAATAATATACATCAAACACAAAAATAATAAGAAAAAAATCTTGATACATGATAAATATTGTTTTTGAATATGTATTTTATGGAGTCTACGTTGCAAATCACAAAGATTCTTTATGAGTGCCATCAATGCTCTCCCAGTGTTGGCAATGTTCACCCAGGGGTACATCCCATCACAGAAATGTCACTGGATTTGGTATGAAACCTTGACATTTAGACCTAAGATATCCATTGTGATTTTCAGCAAGTTTTTTTTATTATAACTTTCTCAGAGACACATGTAAGTTCATGCTAAAATAATAAATAATAATAATAAAATAATATTTCTGAAATGATACCTGCATGTTAATAAATATGTGTGATATTTCACAAGTGATATCAAAACAAAATTCCCTAAATGAAAATGCAATGGGTTAAACACACAAACACACACACACAAATCTGCCATTCATAACCACAAAAAAAGAAAGAAAAAAAAATGAAGGTATTTACCTATATATATATATATATGTGTGTGTGTGTGTGTGTGTGTGTGCGTCATAAATTAAATAAAGATAAACATAACATCTATTTTTTAAGGATTTAAAAAAGATGTACAAGATTAACATGAAAATGTAATTCAGTATTCATATATAACTTTTGTGATTAGTAAATAATAATAAAACTGAAAGTAGTTAGAGTGGCACTAGTGGTTTCCCCACACTGCTATGTTTTTTTACAGGCAAGCAACTGAAAAAGCAAAGTTTCAAAGTTATTAATCTGGGGTTTCCCTTTTTTGTTTTTGAGGGTTTGGGGGTTCATAAACTGTCAGAACACTGCTGCTCTATGCTGCGGTGAAGACCTAACTCGAGACAGCAGCAATTTGTGACATTATCACTGTTCATTTATAATGAAGAGCCCAACCCGAATGTAAAGCAGGGCAACATGTCACAAACAACCCATGTCACGGTCACAACACCTACAACCTATAAAATCACAATGCCGAGACTATTTATTCGTTGCCTTCTCGCATTAGTAGTAATCTCAGTTTTGGGGGTGCCAGTAGAGGATGAGGTCTGTTGCTGCTGAACCACCTTCTTCCGCAACTCATATTAAGTATTACAAATGATATCATGGCAATTTGTCACGCTCCTTAGTTCAGTGATGTTTTACCGACTCATTTACTATGATACCTTGTTACGGATCCAGCTGCGAATCAGAGGCTTGTCATGGGGCTTGAGGCAGACCCCCCTCTGCGGCTACCCAATGACCTGGAAGGCAATAGGGGATGCCAGTGCCTAGAGCATGTGCTGCACTGACAGAGCAGCAGGGCTCTGTCAAAAGGCCTCCCATACAAACTTTCCAGATCACTCTGTTTTTAACAGATGAGTAAGCAGCCGCGGAGCGAGCCTTCGGATTTGTGAATCACAGGTTTCCTGTTTGGTTCTAGTGGCCCTTTTTGACACACCCTATATCGCCTGCCTCCGAGGGGGATTCTGCGCTGGTGAATCTGGGCAGAGGGGGGGAGATTGCAAGTGGCAGGGTCACTGGTTGGGTTAAGCAACAATTCAGGATATGTGCTTTTAACAGACAAATGCCTGTGAAGGTATATTGTGAGCTTTTATAGCATAAAGACAATGATATTGATCTGTGCCGGAGATACTGGTCACATCTGCTCTTTTAGGGTATAATGGTAGCTTAAAATCGATGTATTCATATTTTTAGGTTTATGCATACAAATAAATATCAGCTATTGCACCAAATCTATCCAGGCATACTGTTTGAACTTTGGTGATTTGAGCATAACTGGCAATGTCACAAAACATTAGTTCCTAGAGGCCCAAAATAAATGGAGTAAAGACTTTGAGCGAGATTGCGGTCGTTGACCCAGTAGCTGCTTGCAGTCAGGTTTGGTGGACCTGGTCTGCACATTAACAAAATCACAGGAAATGCTTTCAAGATCGCTCAACCCCCCCGTCCACCTTGAAAACAACTTTCTCACCTCATTTAACTAAATTAATGAGCAGGTTCAGGCCCATTTCAAACAGACAGAAAATAAAAGAGCCAATGAGAAAAATAGTCAGTTCTGCACCTGCCGTGTTTGAAGTGAACAAGCAGGTGCTGCATTTGTAATGTTCATTCATTTTATTGCATATTTTAAGATAGCATTAATTGTCTTGCCACTATTTATTTCTCTTGACCTCCCCTTTAGATAAACTCACTTTTTCTCATGTGTCGTCTCTCTCTTTTTTTTCTCTGTTCCTCTGGTGACCTTCCACTCTCATCAAATAGACAAGGACAATATGTTTGCTTATGCCATGGTCATGTGATCTATGAATTGATATGAGTTCATCCATTATTCATACTCAGTTTTGCATAAGCATTTCCCTATCATGCCTGTCACTTACATAGTCAACATTATGAAAGCGGCTCGTCACCGGCATGGCCTCACAGTGATCACAACTCGCTAGTTAGTACAGACATGACTTGCACAGGGGACATGCACCAAATGCCACTCCACTGACCCGTGAACTATAAAAACAAGCAAACAGCGACAGCAAGACATGCGGTGGCAGTATCTGATTATTAATATATTATTGGGGCGAGGAAACATGCCCCACTGCCAAGCCATGGGTAAGCGTGAATACATTGGCCCTCAAGTACACACCAGTGATGAGGGGAAAGGTGAAAACAGGTTTTACTCCACTCACTGGACACATAAAAGCAGGTCATGTGACAAATTGGGTCTAATTATTGTAGGCGTCATTTAGGGCTTATTCTGCTCCATATGTATTATTTGAATTGACGCAACATAATATCTGCAGCTCAAAAGTGGTGATTATTTAGCTGAAACTTTAGTACAAAATGGTATGTAGTCAATGTAAAAAAAAAAAAGGG